CTGCTCTGAAAACCAGTCCAGTAGTGTTTGATCCAATTCAGGATACTTTGGCGAAAAGCAGCCCATCGTCTTTCGCTTTGCTGACATTTTAAGCTCACCATAAAACAGGTTCGCTTGATCTTTTCGCCAGCGACGCACCATCGATTCACTGATTCCGTAATCTCTAGCGATGTCGGAGTTGTTCTCGACGGCCTCTGCTTCAGCAACGACTTTTAGTTTGAACGCTAAGTTGTATGAAGAACGACGAACTTTCGGCATGATGATCGATTACGATAACTTTGAAAGAGAGCGATTATTTGAGACAGGATTCTGAACTCAGGTGAATGTTTTGTTATGTCATGCATGGTTCTATTTATTTACACATTAAATTCAAGTTATCTGTGATTTGTTGTTACTTTCAATTAAACGACCAATAACAACTGAGTAAATAACCTACTTTTTGGTTACATGTTTCCCGAGAGGGAAGCTCCTTTTGTTTTCGGTTTATGTTAATTTATCTCAGTTAACGACATGCGTGGAGTACTTTGCAATTATTAGGTCTCGGCTTATAGCCGAATGTTTTGTGTTTATTTTTTATTTCAATGCAACAGCTGCTGACATAAAGAAGTTTAGGGTCTCGGCTTATAGCCGAGATCAGCTTATAGGTGAATAAGTACGGTACATATCCCAATAACTGGATCAGGATTTGCTTGACAGCATTCAAGAGTTTAGCTTTTTTTTTTACACCAGGCAGTCAACTAGAGTTCAGATTGGAGAAACCTTTGTCTTGCCAGGGTAATTAATTGTTCTCTTTACGCTTAGATTTAAACGCACAAAGCAGTGTCATCTCTGGTCCTGCAAAAAATAGCTTTTGTATTGTTGCTAAGCTGGTCCATCCTAATGATATACATGTACCTAATATGCTTGGTTTTCTTCAAAGTACATTAATTAAGACAATATTGATTATTATAATTGTTATATACATGTTTCTCCTACATGCTGATGGTCTTTAATAATTATTTGCATTTCTATGCATCTGTCAGTCCTGATGAAAGATATGTCAAGGCATCTCAGTTTACAAGGAGAGTGGACATTTTCAAAAAAAATTTATTTTCAATCCAGTATGCAGAAGGTATTATATAGTTCATGGTAATTATGATTATTGCCTGTTTTAAATCTCTCTCTCTTGCGGTTATTTTGGTATTATGCTGCCAAATCATGACTTAGTTAACTATTTTTCTCTGCAAACACCATCAGTCATATTATAAACAGTGCTGCTGTTTGATTTATTTTTAGTGGGCATTGGTTCCTGTCTCTGATATATAATCTACCAACACTCACAAGCAGAAGAAGAAAGGATGATGGTTGTACTGTGTAAGCTTTATCAGAAACATTGTCTTCTAAACCTTTCTAAAAGTAGGAAAAAGTATACTCAAGTTGGCTAATGATATTTGATCCAAAATGTGCTGAGGGCTTTGTATTGTAGCAATAACTTTGTTGAATGGTGAAGTTATAAGGACTAGGACTAATTCTTGTTGGAAGAAGACACTATTACTGAAGTGAAAATTAATATTGCAGTGGAATGTTCTTTTCAGAGTTCCAATTCTCATGATTGACTCCATTGTTTATGGCCCAGATAGAAAGAACTCTACTTGCTCTTCCTCCACACAAGAACAAGAAGCAAACATTATCAGAAGGTATATGCACTACACTATCTTCATTTTTTTCGCACCAGACACCTCTTGCATTACAGCACTTGTATCATTTGTTTGATTTTAGTTTTATAGAATGTGAATGGAGGGCTAAAATGAGTGAATGTCCAAGTCCCACTCCATACTTTACTTCCAAGACTATGCCTGTCCTCTATCCCAAGTATTAAAATCTCTAGTCTTCTTCTTAAGGATTGTAATGTCAAGTTGCATTTTTTAGGGGAAAGTTAATGCTTAAGTATATAAATATAGGTAGGAAACACTATCATGTACTGAGGCTGACTGAAGTATTGAAAAATTGGATAGTATTACGATGGTGGTGAATGTTTGGTTATACAGCTCGTCTTTTTGTCATTTACTGTGAATTGATTTTATTAGCAGAATAAAATCCAACCATAGATCTGGTTCATAAAATAGACACTTCTTGGTTATTCTACAATTGTTGTCTACCCAAATCAGTTTAAAGCAACCCAGTAAAAATTTTCAGACTGAAATTCCAGAGGTGTGAGAAAAATTAATAATTGGTTTCATCCCTGGGGGAGACCTTAGCTGTATCATCTTTGGCCTTATATTGCGTTTTGTTGCATTAAAATTCATCCTTATTGATATCCTTTATATGAAAGTCCTGTCTAGAGACCACTGTAGTAATAATGGTAATATGTAGAAAGGTGAAGGGATAGATAATAGCATTCTTTAACCCTTAGGTACCTCAACAAGAAAACGGGTATGATTGCGGAGTATTTGTTATGCTGTTCTTCGAAGAATTCTCAAGGCGAAAGGTTAGCATAAGGTTATAAAGATTTTAAAACATAATTTCCATCTCAGCGTAGCAAGGCAATGATTCTTTGTATGTTTTTTTTCTCTTTCAGTTTCCAGTAAGCGAGCTTCTGTCAGACAAAATCCTGCAGTGGTATAACCAAGCTTCTGCATTTCATTTGAGAGAAAGAGTCAAAGGCATCCTTTTAGCTACAGGCTAGAATTTGAGATTTTACAATTATTCGTATCGTCATCTTATGTTCAGTTGCCTTGACGCATGAAAAAAATGATTAGTTGAAATGTAATATTTTTCATTCATACAAAAACGGTGGTGAACGCATTGAACAAAAAGGTTCCCATGCGAAAAATGACCTGGTCACGGTAAAGATGATAAATCCCTTCGTAGCATAACCCTGGCCCAAGTCTGACAAAAAGTTTTGTCCATATTAATATTACACCCTGAAGTTTCGCTTAACAACGAGGCTGGACTTCAAATTATATTTCTCATTCTACGTACCCTGATTATCGAAATGTCGTGGGTTCTGTTTTGAAAGCACATGCTGTTGGGGCATAATAGTCTGCGCAGGTAGCGGAATAAACGCGCGGTTAAGTTTTTTTNACGGGTGTGAAAGACATTAGGGTTAATCTAAAGGAGTCACCGGGAATGTACAAACATATTTGGTGGATGATAAACAGATGCTAAGAAAATTAACTTGTCCTTAGGAATGTAATCCGCCACCTCAGAACAAAACAGCAGTGAGGCACACTCCGAGAGAGAGAGAAACCCTACCTTGTGCTATTATGTAAACAAATGAAACGTGAACCAAAACGTCTCACTGGTACCCAGGGTAGAAAAAGCTAAATCAAGTAAGTCTTTCGACTACGAGTTTTTTATTTTATTTTATTATTTTTTGTGACTTGATAGTTCATTTTGTAAAGTTCTTTAATTATTCTTCTATTATACTTAGCATGATCTCGTATTTCATTTCGTGACTTAAGCCAATGGTTACAAGGGACCAGGGAGAGTAAGATATTTTTGGGGGGGGGGAGTGGATGTTTTGTTCGATTCTCGTATTTCATGTACGTGACATGTCGTCTCGCCTTATTTCAGACATTTATACCTTGTTTTAGATGGTTTTAGATTGTTTGCGAGTGGTTGTAGATGTTTTTGAGGTGGTTGTTGAATTTTTTTGAGGTGGTTGTAGGTTGTTGTAGATGGTTTTAGGTGGTTTTAGGTGGTTTTAGGTGGTTGTAGGTGGTTGTAGGTCGTTCCATGTTTTAGTGACTACGGAAATTCCAGAGGTGTGAGAAAAATTTATAATTGGTTTCATCCCTGGGGGAGACCTTAGCTGTATTATCTTTGGCCTTATATTGCATTTTGTTGCATTAAAATTTATCCTTATTGATATCCTTTATATAAAAGTCCTGTCTAGAGACCACTGTAGTAATGAGGGTAATATGTAAAAAGGTGAAGGGATAGATAATAACATTCTTTAACCCTTAGGTGCCTCAACAAGAAAACGGGTATGATTACGGAGTATTTGTTATGCTGTTCTTCGAACAATTCTCAGGGCGAAAGGTTAGCATAAGGTTATAAAGATTTTAAAACATAATTTCCATCCCAGCTGAGCAAGGCAATTATTCTTTGTTTGTTTTTTTCTCTCTTTCAGTTTCCAGTAAGCGAGCTTCTGTCAGACAAAATCCTGCAGTGATACGACCAAGCTTCTGCATTTCATCTGAGAGAAAGAGTCAAAGGCATCCTTTTAGCTATAGGCTAGAATTTTAGATATTACAATTATTAGTATCGTCATCTTATGTTCAGTTGCCTTGACGCATAAAAAGAATGATTAGTTGAAATGTAACATTTTTCATTCATACAAAAACGGTGGTGAACGCATTGAACAAAAGGATTTATTTGTCATATAGAGGTTCCCATGCGAAAAATGAGCTGGTCACGGTAAAGGTGATAAATCCCTTTGTAGCATAACCCTGACCCTAGTCTGACAAAAAGTTTTGTCCATCTTAATATTACACCCTGAAGTTTCGCTTAACAATGAGGCTGGACTTTCAAATTATATTTCTCATTCTACATACCCTGATTATCGAAATGTCGTGGGTTTTATTTTGAAAGCAGATGCTGTTGGGGCATAATAGTCTGCCCAGGTAGCGCAATAAACACGTGGTTAAGTTTTTTTTCAGCTAAGCCACGAGAATTGTTAGGGTTCGCTGATTGTATGGATTCCACGCGCGTATTGCATTTGGCTAGCTACGCATCTCCCTCCGTCATTGTTTAATGCCATTTGAGTTGAGATTCCAAAAGGAAAGAAAGAATAAAGAAATGAGATCATTCTTTGTGAGTAGTTGTATCATGGCGGGGTTTGAAACATTTCCCCTCATTTTACGTCAAATTCTCATGAATATACGTTAATTTGGCACTTTTGTGGTCTGTTTTAAGCTTTTACGTCAAATAATCGTGAATTCACTATATTTTGGCACTTTCGGGGGTTTCTTTAAAGATGTTTGTGGTATTCACGATAAATTATCGTGAATTCACTATATTTTGGCACTTTCGGCGATGCCGATTCGCGCTTTCACGTCAAATAATCGTGAATTCACTATATTTTGGCACTTTCGGTGGTTTCTATCTCTGTTTTTGTCCATATTTACGTTAAAATATCGTGAAGCCTCGTTAAATGCCATTTGTCTTTAAGTGTGTTGTGTTCATCCCAAATAGTTGCAGAAAAATTATCATAAGATTCACGGAGTCTGAAGGTTTCACTGACTGGATAATCGGTGCCCTATCGCGTATGTGTGTATTTGGTCTGGTAAAACGATTCGCTTGTCATCATCAGCGGATAGCGCGACCTTATTGATCTCTTCCATGTACATCTCATGCTTTCGGTTTCGAAGTGTGTTCATTTTTCGAAGTTGTTTTACACCACTAAACAAACATTTTTTGTAGTCATCGAAGTTGATGGTGCGATCTACCACTCCTTCCTTCATTCCCTTACACTTCTTCACTTCTTCTCCATCATCAAACATTCTATAGCTGTACAGTTTAGCCCTCAGACCAACAAACTCCTCAATGATCTTTCCACCTGCCTCATCCTTAAACATTCCAATCACCTTCTTGTTCACACCGGTCGGTATCCCAGAAGAGTGCCCCTCTGAAATGTTGCTCGTGTCAAACAAACGGTCTACATCATCGATTATATCTTTGTAAAAATCTTCAGTCTGAATCTCATAACAAAGACTATCAGTGTCTGTGAAAAGAAGCTTTGATCTACCCTCTGGGTACTTAGGTTTGATGTAGTTGTAGTGGAAGTCATACATCAATGTCTTACTAATATCGAGGATGCTCATCCCGAGATAGAGAGGCTTATTGAAGAGAATTTGCGTCTTCCCCATATGTATCGCGCTGAGATTCTCGGAGAAGATGGCGCAGTGTTTGAAGTTAACCTTATTTGTCAGCTTCTTTGCCTTCTCATCTGAGGTGACAAGTCTCACGTCAACGCGTTTTCGAATGTTCTCCATGGTTTTGCCAAAGACAGCGTTGTTCATGAGCTTGTAGAAGTCCTTCTCAAAGTCATTCTTTGCTTTTGCTCTCAATTTTGTGTTGAGAGCAATATACTTCTTCATCCAAGGTCTCTCATTGAACCTGATGACGCGATGGATCTTTCCGATCTCGATTCCAAGACTCATGTAATGCTTCAATGTCTTATGATGAATGATGTACTTCTTCTTTTCATTCAACGTGCAGGTCAGCTTATGCACTTTCCCAATCAATAGATTCTCAGGGGCGGGTGGGTAGTCGTTGAAGTGATCGTGAAGCTCTTCTTTGACACCTTTTAGGTCGACTTCGAGAATGCAGGGGAAATTCTTCCATTTTTCAAAGTCTTTCTCATCTACCCATTCAAACCCTCCCGTCGGCAGACGCTTACTCATCGCCCAACCGTAAAGGTTGTTTGCATCGAGATAAATGATGAACTTTAAAAGTTGGGAGGGGTCAAAGCTTTCCTCCATGTATTTGTTGTTGGCTTTTGCATGCCTTGTCGAAATCATTGAAATACCACCGCGAATACCGGCCTCAAACATGTGCAACATATTTATATCGCTCAACAACTCAAGTTCTACCTTAGTCAACTTAAGACAGGCATCCCAAGCCAAACCCGGTGCGGTGAAGTACCAACAAGGATCGAGATGGTAGTTCTTTTTGCAAAGTTTTCGAAAGTTTTCAAACACATCGGCTAGTAAAAGAACGTCGCTTTGATTGTAGAGATTGTGGTAATCTCGGAATGTCTTACATCCAAAGACTTTCCATACATTTTGAGCATGGGTATAGTCTTCATCTGAGATACCTTTACCACTTAACACAGAGAAGAAAGCTTCTTTCGGCGGAAGTTGTGGCTCATCAAGCTTGTGTATAGAGTCCATCCATTCATAAGGATAAACACCCTTTCTCATCAACAGATTAAGCTTCTCTCCGGAATAATATTTTCTTGTGTTTTGGAAGAAAGGCTTACCCTTTTTGGCGAGGTTCGCAACAAGCTTGTCAAGACCGGAAGCTATGAATTTAAAGCTGTCAATGAACCTCAACTCTCTCTTTTCCTCGACGAGTTTGTTGTCTTCCTTAAAAAACTTGTCAACCACAACGTGCTTTGTGAAGCTAATGTATTTCTCTTCGTTGTTTGGTATGCAATCAATCTCACCCTCTGAAACACCAAGATTTCTAACGAAGAGATGAGCGTCATAGTTTGCCAAGTTGTGCAACACAACAGGTATGAATTTTGGCCGTTGGAATTTTAGGTTGCAGCTGTTATGCGCAGCCCCTCGAAATTTACCGGTGTAATGGCAGTGATCGCGAACTTTGTCTTTCCCCTCTTCAAAATCTTCTCCACATAACCAACAACATGTTGCATTTTCAAATTCGACAGCATCACTGTCTGTGAAGATCATCTTTTTAGGAGGATGATCTTCGTAAATAGACTTAACCTCCGCTTCAAGCGATTCAACGAACTTTTGTGCCACATCTTCATTCTCAGACTTTGCTGTGTATTCAACCCGTTTTGAGTATCTATCGTCAAATGAACACACGATGTAGTAACAAAAACTTACCGGAATATGTTGAGACTTCTTTTCTGTGTAACACTCTTCAGGATTAGGTTGAGCTGAGTGCAATAGTTTAATGATTGACTCAAAATCAGCATAGATGACAAACGGCATGTCCATCTTCTTGTGATGGTTTTTGAAAGAGAGGAGAGTATCCGCTTTTGGCATCTTCTCTCTCACAGCCTCATGATCTTGACACAACTCACTGTGTGTGTCAAGAAGTCGCTGAGAACCGAAATAATTAAGACACCTCCTACATATATACTTCTTCGCCTTCTTCTTTGACAACTCACTCGATACGAGTCGACTCAAATTTTTGATGAGACAATAATGCCTTTTGTCACCATCTTCAATGAGAAGAAGATCAATTATAGTTCTACTCGAGCCTTTGCTGCTCACTCTCAAGGGATTAAGCCCGTTTTCATACATGTATACGTTGACACCGATCTCTGGATTCAACTTTTCAAAGCGGTGAATGCTCTTCACCTCCATTGGAAACTTAATCTCATCCCACACGAGTTTTTCTGCCTGTTTTCTCAAAATCTTTGTGATACGACTAGGATGACTTTGAACAGGATTGAAAGCTCTCGTGACACACCACTTGAAACATTCATCATCCTCGTTCTCCATGTTTATTATAGCCTTCTTATCTGCAAGATGCTTTGGCAGCTTAATGTAAGAAGAACCTTTCAGAGGGGTGTATTTCACCATATGCAAATCCAGACCCTCAACACGATGAAATTTCCACCCACTCCCATTTCTTTCAAACTTTTCCAAACTCTTTATCATTTTCTCTACACATTCTTCATAAAGTTCTTCTCGATCAGTCTCTTGAAAGACGATCTTTTGTGAAGTTGAAAGATATGCAGTTGTGTGCTGAATCTCACCATCACTATTTTTCCTTATCATTTCACACCTAAAAATGAACTTTATCTTGATATTTTTTTGTGTATTCAAAAGGTTCATAACGGTGGGCTTTACAACCTCAAGATAATCTCTCGGCCCAAAAAGTATTGGCCCCCCATCGATCGTATACATCTTTGCAAACTGTTTCAGAGAAGACATCTTCTCAACAGCTTTGAAACGAGAAGCTCTCGCTCTCTTCAGAGAGCTCTTGCTCTCTTCTCTCTTTGTTCTCAACAGTGCCCTTTTTCTCAACAGTGCACTTCTTCTTGGCTGCATAAACTCGTGTAACCGCTTCTCATAGTCGCTTCTGCGAAGGCCTTTGTTTATCTCACGGAATTCTGTAATTGTGGTAGGAGCGCTACTGCTAGGAGCTAGGCTCCTAGGGCCTCCCTTTGCCTTCTTTTGTGTAATTATGGGCAGGGCAGGGCTTTTTGGTTTCGACTGAATAAGCTTGATGCGTTTGATAAGCTCATCTTTTCGAAGGTTTGCGTAGCCGTGGAGGCCGTTATCCTTTGCGATTTTGCGTAGTTGCACAACAGTGTTATTCTCCATTATGCAGATATGTATTCTGTAAAGATAGTTTTGATCTCAAAAAAACTCCTTTCTATTTTCTTTTCAATATTTCTTTAAGATTTTTTTCCTCACTCGATTCAAGTGAGGAAAACCCACGACTTTACGTCGTTCAATCCTCAGACTTTGAAGGGGTGATTATAATCACCTCATCATCTTGGGGTGGATCTTTCTTCAACGTATAACTCTCAAATCTCAGATTGTATCGTATTCCATCGATAACTATTGTGCTTTTTGCTCCTTTGTCCTTCCAACCAAACTTTCCAGGATTTACGTTGAAATGTTTCGAAGCCTTATTAATCGAAGGGAAAACAAGCTCTTCTGCATCTGATGAATCTGCAGATTCATCTTCAAAGAACCATGTATCTACAGGTGACATTATCACCTTTTTCCTCACACCACACTGCCTTGCACGAGGGGGTGGGGGGTTTCTGATAACTTCAATCAATTCTTTTTTCTTGAGTTTGTAGAGGCCTCGCAGACCCATCTCTTTTCCTTTTGCCAAAAGTGCAGGCTTTGAATATGTTTCAAGTTTATCCATCTTGTTATCTTTTTTTATCTTAATCATTTCTTTAAGACATTTTCTTTTCATTTTTTTATAACTTCTGAAGATCTTTCTCATCAACCCACGAGTTGAATTTTTCTGGATAACCACTCCACTTCACGAGAGCTTGTTTGCCCTTTTTTCGTATAACCTTCTCAATGCGAAAAAGGCCTGAAAGGCTTTGCTTTGCCTTCAACATCTCTTGTTCGTAGAAAGTGCCTTTGATCTCTTCTCCAAGCAGATCCTTCAACTTGTAAGTGATGGGCTTGGTGTACTGCACCTCATCAACTACAAATATTTCTTCAGACCAATTTGGTGTGTAGCCCTTGTCGAAAAGCTGCCGCTTGAATTTGGAGATTCGAACGTGGTCACCGACCGCAAACTTTGGCTCTCCATGGACACTCAAGGGGCTAAGGTCTTTACCGTACAGTTTCAAATAGACGGCATTCTCATTCTTCTTCTTGGAGGCCTCTACAGGTGTCATACCGATCGATCTATGTTTTGTATTGTTGTACTTCTCGAGAATCTTCGGCAATATGTTGAGATACACTGTGTTGTTCTGGATGGTAAACTGCTTCCACATTTTTGTTTTGATCGTACGATTCCATCTCTCACACACAGACGATTTCTCTTCATTCTCTGTCGAGTACAGCTCAATACCCTCCGCTTTGAATAGATCTCTGACATGACTGTTGTAATACTCCTTACCTTTATCAGTCCACATCTTCTTTCGCTTTCTCCCTTCAGAGAATATCTCTTTGAACCCCTCCGCCACACTCTCACCCTTTTTATTCTTCAGAGGAACGATCCAGCCGTACTTGCTAAAAATGTCCAACACCATCAGCAGGTAACGGTAGCCCTTGTTCCACTTTGCAAACTTTTGCATCTCCACCAAGTCAGAGCACCAAATCTCATCGATACCGTTCACAATAACACGCCGCTTTGTAAAGTTTCGTCTGATGGGTTTGTGCAGCTCATCTGCTAATTCTTCTTGCCACCCTTGCGACCCCTGGGGGTCTTTTTTTTTTCCACCCAGGCCTAAGCCAAGCTTCTGTTTGGTGTTTATGGCGTTTCTCGCAATCCAGTGCCCCCACTGCCTCTGATTGTACGGTATCGCATCGAGGTCTGTCACCATCTTACAGTCGGCCACATTCTTACACGCTTTTGGGTTTGGCTTGTCTGCACAGACGGTGTAATCAACGTCGTGCTGCATTGCAATCACGTCAGTCGGACCCGTTGGCTGTTCATAGATCTCGAGAATTTTGCCAGTCTTTGGATCGAAGCGCAGTTGAGAATCGAGATCGTTGTAGGGCCCGGCAAAATTATACCCAGGCATCGTGAAGCCACCTTTCGGCCTCGGGAGTTTACCAATCGCTTTATGCAGATCGAAGGCTCCACCTTCGTAAAGAGGGTGAGTCGGGTCATTCACTCCACCAGGTGCATACATCGACATAGGTAGAATTTGATTTACATCGTACGCGTTCAGCGTTCCACCACTAATCTTTTTGCTCATATCGTTGACGAATGAATCGAGAGCTTGATCGAGATACTTGTTCGCCGTCTTTTTGAACTTGCTCTTCGCATAGTCAGATTTGACAGCGTTTGGAAGCCCCTGCTGCGCCATGTTCGCAAGCCCCTTTAGAGCCATCTCACTCAAAGACGTGCTGGTTCGTCCTACATCCTCAAAGAGCGTCCCGCCTTTTTTTTTACTCCCCCTTTCATGAAAGACACCTTAGTGATGCCGCATTCAGCGCACTTCGATTTCATCATCAGTCGACCATTTTTCGCAACCTCCTGCCGCTCACTCCCCGGCATGCTATCAGTCTTCTTCTTTTGCTTCACGCAGTAAGTTTTCATTTCGAGCAATATTTGTTTTGTACTTAGTACTAGTACTTATAGTACTTATATTTTTTCGTCAAAATTTCGTGCACAGGTGCCCTTTATCTTATCGCAAAACAAGAAATCATAAGGTTTCAACGCTGAAAAAGCACTGACATCGAAGCAGTTCTCATCAGCGATTAGCTTGCGGTGTCGCTGTGTTGGCGGCAAAAATATAGCCATGTGAGAACAATTCAACCTGATGTCTTTGTCAGTCTTGTAGTTCGACTGGGATAGGTATATGGGTGAGATCTGATGATGTCTGCCATCGATAAAGTGCTTGAGGATTTTGTCTTGCGTTGTTTTCGGAGCTGTGATCAAATGATCGAAGATAACAACCTTTCGCCCCTCTGCAGGGTACTCGGTTGTGTCGGGGATCTGAGCTGGATCCATCAGATGTAAAATCTGATAACCTAGTTTTTGCGAATGCCGGTGCATGATCTTCGCAAGGTCTTGTATTAGGTCTTGGTGGAAGTTGGGGCTATAGATATATATTTCGTCATATGGCACAAGCGGCGCTCTCAACATATAGGACAGCAAATTCGTTTTACCACTACCTGAGGGCCCAGCTATCAACATTCTATAGTCCTCATCGAGATAGTTAACGCCTGGAACCCTTCTTTTTCGAGTACCCTCACCACGAGTGGTAGTCAGTTTTGGTATGTTAACCATGAACTTTGTTCTAGTATCAACCTTTGTACTTAGTACTATCGTAGAAAATGTATGTTGATTTTTTGGCGTGGAGCGTTTTTACTTTTTTTGATTTTTTTTCTCTTGTGTAAAGGATATAGAGAAAAGAAAAGGCAAATTATATTACAAGTTCAACAAACATGCAACTCACAAGTCTCAAAGGTATTACCAAGTATAATGTTATCTTCGAAGAGGCGACCACTAACCAACACGGCCACCAGCGTATCAACATCAAGGCTAAACACACCTGTGGTGAGAACAAAGCTGGGCCGTTGGTGATAGCTTCACCTTTTCGATTCTCGTTTGGTGTACAGCCAAGCTTGAGTAAGAGTGATGTTACGGGCTGCACACTACCCACTCCTCTGTGGAATCCTCAAGAGGGTGAGCCAACGCAAAAAGAGTTTGCCTTCTACCACGCTCTCAAAGAGTTGAAGCATATTTGCTATGAACACTTGGACGAGTTTTATGGTACAGACGTGGCAGAGAGCATAAAGTTCCCACTGGTTGAGAAAGAGGGGAAAGCACCGGTACTATACCCGAGGCTTATGTACAGTCAAAAGTCTGATAAGATACGCACCCTCTTTCACTCGAAAGAGGAATCAAAAGTGGAGCCGCTAGAATGCCTTGATTACTGTAAGGTAAAAATGACCATCGTGGTTGATAGTATCTATCTGGGTGATGAGTACGCATGGGTACAGCTAAAAGTAAACGATGTATATGTGCATCGGTTGCCGCAGAGACAGGTGCAGCCATTGGCTGTCCTTGAAGAAGATGAACTCGAAGAAGAAGAGCTAGACTTTGAAGAGGACTAAGACCAAAGGTCTTTTTTTCCTTTTTTTTGAAACGAAAAAGGAAAGCTTCAAGCGAGGGTAGCACTTATCTCAAAAGTTAAGTGTCAACGATGCAAAAGCGAGGTGACTCACTTATTTGAAAAGATAAGTGTTACCCTCGTTTTTACTTTTTTTTTATTTTTTTTCTCTTGGGTAGTTGCAAAGCAACTAAAGCACACATTACAAGTACTACAGTCATGATGCAACTCACTGATATCAAAAAGATTGAAGACAACATCATATTCGAAAAAGCGGTTTCTAACTGTTATGGTGACAAGTGTATAAACATACGTGCAAAACACGGTTGTGGTGAGGGCAAGCCAGGGCCGTTGGTGATAGCAAGCCCTTTTCTCTCTTCGTTTGGCGTTCAAAAGAGCTTGAAGGACGATGATATCACGAAGTGCTCGTTACCAACTCTCCTATGGGAGTGGGGGGTGCAACAAAACGAGCTCGACTTCTATGCAGCATTGATAAGATTGAGGGATCTATGCTATGAACACCTGAGTGACACCTATGGAGAATTCGAAGCAGAAAAGATGAAGTTCCCTTTGACTGATGAGAGGGGTGTGGATAAAGGACAAGTTCCAATACTTTACCCCAAACTAATGAAATATACCCTCTTCCACACAAAATATATACCAGAAATAGATCCACTCAAGTACCTAGACCAGTACTGTAAAGTAAAGATGACCATCGTCGTCGACAGCATCTACATGGATTCTTTTAGCAGGTCATCAGTGCAATTGAAAATACATGATGTGTATGTGAATCCACAGAGACTGATGCAGCCATTGGCTACCCTGTCTAAAGACGAAGAAGATAAACTCGAAGGTGAAATGTGGGTTGACCCAAAGACTAGTAAGCTTATTAATCCAAAGACTGGTGAGATTCTTAAGGTCAGACCCGCTTTCCCCCACCACTTCTCCCCTCACAACAGGGGGATAGTAGATAAGCTACTTAGCTTAGACCCAAAGACTGTCCCCTTTTATCCATCACCAGCGGCTCTGAGTAACGTCTCTGAGTCAAAATATGCGGCTGAT